TAATATAAATTTCCAATTGACAATAAATTTATGTTATCTTACGTACAGATATCTCCTTTTTGTTTACGTTCCACTTCTCGTTTGTACTGATCGAGTTCTTGGTCAGTAATAGCATCAAAAGGATTTTTGGCATATGGCGTTTTATAAACCATTGCGTTGTGTTGAAACCCTCTTTGTATAATACCTTTACTGGCTGCACCTACCAATACTACTTGCTCTCCTGTTCCGCTAATAGTGGCATCCTTCCATATGAATATTTTTTATTAATATATACATATATTTTAAAATATAAAATAAATATACTGAACATATAATTTAACGAAACAGTAAATTAAGAAATCATTAATACTTCAATTTTAAAATTATTATTTAAAACATTTTACCTGCATCTTTTTAGCTTCTTCCCACGTAACACCTTCTAATATATGAGATTGTGGTCCAGCTGATATTTTATCTGCTCTACGATAATCTTTTATCTAAACAAAAGAAAACATAGCTCCAAGGATTGAATCAATTTGTGAATATAAAATAATTAAAATTAAATTGTTTCATTAAATTAAAAAAATTCATATAAATTGCATTATTGAAATTTCATTTCACTTACCTGTTGTTGTATTTGTTTAAATTCCTTTGGATTGGTATTTTTCGGTACAAATTGAAGGGCACTGTCGATCTTCACCGGTGTACTGCTATGGGTCGGAGATCCGTCTGACACCCACTGCACACAAAACCAGAACGTTAGTCGACCCTCATCAATAATTCGACATCCGACACAGCATTATTATATATATATTTTCGTATTGTCTGCATATGTTATGTGTGCCTGCTTTGCTGGTGATGTCGTCGTATTATTTTAATTTTGCATGTAAGTAGCACGTCGTTGATACTGCGATATTTATTTAAAACTATTAATCTTTATTCTCGACATTAAATAAAATGATCATGTCATATTTACTTCTATTATTAATAATGAATTTTTTTTATACGTTTCGTATCTCTCTCAATCATTCTCGCTTTCGCTCTCTTTCCCACTCGTTTCTTTACTCTCTCACTCTATAGGGTCGATCGATCTGGTTTTGTAAATGCAGTGGGACGAAGAGTTGAATATCCATCCCTTAGACGACACGATTTTAACAGGCACACATTCATACACAGTTTTGAATGTGAATCGGTCAAACGATAATATTCGTATGCATAATATATATGGTTAACTGAAGTTCGATTCTCGTGTAGCAATATTAAAATGCCATAAACTCGAAAAAATGCTCGAGAATATAGCTTCTATTGCTCATCGAACTAATCAATTTTTCAAAAAATATTCTCTTTCTCTTGTTCCTATACATGATGTCATAC